CAAAATTCCTATAAACTAGTCAACCTCAATTCTCCTTAAACTAGCCAGTTCCCATTAACACTAGTTAATTGTTTCTATCCCCTCAGATTTAGCCTTCAGCAACTTCTATTTACTCTTCTTTAGTAATATTTTATAGATATATCCTTAATTCTGAAGGAGATAGTTTAAAAAACACACCCCAGCATCTCCTCCAACTTGGTTTTTATGACACAAAGTAAATGTCTCATACACAGCACCATTTTCACAAGGTTTCTCCCTTCTGTTTTAAGCAAGGCAGCTTTGAAATTCCCTTCTGCAAACCTACGTTTGTATGTATGGTATTCAACGCAAGATTTGACTTCACTTCTCTTAAACAGGTAAAAGTAGTTATGGAGTCAGCACTGGAAATAACGCTCATATGAAATAGAGATCATAACTGCCTGGCAATTCCTAGAACGTAAACTCCCTTGTAGTCCTACCAGGTAAAATTCAGTTTCAGCTGTAATCTCCATAAATGGATTTGCACTTTGCTGTGAGTGACTGAGGGTTACAGAAAGGCATTGGGTTCATTCTTGTATCCCCGAGAGTAGGAATATTTAAAAAAGGAGTGATAAATTAACCCCAATTAATAGCAATGGGAATAAATGCATACATCAGGGCTTGTAAGAAGCTGTGAGTGTGAGATATTTTTTAATTTGAGGATATCATTGGATGAGAAACAAGGGGTGAAACCTTAAGATAAGATTTGGAATTCATCCAAGTGCTAAATCTTATTTTATATTTCTGAAAAGGTAAGTTTGCCTTGTATATTAAATGGTGATTAGATTCTTGCATGTATGGTCTATCAGTGACAAACATCTCTGTTAATGATGGGTAATACAGTCCTATTCAAGCACCTAGAAAGTTTAAACATTTAAAACAAAATATTCCCTCGCCTGTAGCTGTTTGGAATTAAGTGTTCTTGTAAACTGCCTGGACAATACCCAGTATGTGTCAGCCCTAGTCAGTGACCTTATGAATACTACTAGAGTCTCCCAACATTTTCTTTAATACAGTCATCTGAAGTTTAGCCTCAAATCCCTCTGCCTTCTCAGGGTAGGCCACTTGAGCTATATAGAACAAAGTTTACGCTCTGAAGGGGAAGTCCCAGCAATGAAAACAACATATTCTCTATTGCTGTTTTGTAAATTAAAGATGTTTGCTCACACTGTGAGCTCCCAGAGTAATCTATAAATGCTACTAGGAGATTTACCCAAAGTTGCCCACATCCTTCAGGGCAGAGGCTGGTGGTGTGGGGGCTGCAGGAGTCAGGACAGGACCTTGGGAATGGTGGGGGATGCAGGGCAGGAGGCCAAAGTCATGGGGGGTTGAGGAAGGGATGAGGGCAGTAAGAATGAAACATGGAATTATAATTAAGAGCTCTCTGGTCTCTTGCCAATATAAAAGTTGCCTCAGTTACACTAGACTAAGATTAAGATTTTTAAAAGGGCTATCAGTTCTTACGCTTTACCAGGGGCAGATGACCGTTTTGCAGGGCCCCGGGCAGCATAATTCTGTGGGGCCCCCTTTTTGCCACGGCGCATGCACGGGGCTTTCTGAAGCGCGGGGCCTGGGGCGGCCGCCCTATTCGCCCTGCCCTATATCCCCCCGTGCGCTTTACAATGCCATCACTAACTGCTTGGTGGGGAGCTTTCCCTTAGCCCAAACACGTATTATGTAATTCTTCCACTTATGGATTTTACATTTTCTTTATACTTTTCTTTTATACTTTTCTTTTATACTTTCTTTTGAAGCATTTGCTACCAGGTACCATAGAAAGGCTAAATCTCTCATTCCATATGGCAAGGCCCGCTATCATCCATTTTGATCAGTATTGTTGAATTTATTTATAAAACTCTGCACTCTTTATGCAACAGTAGTAGTATAAGGTTAGGAGACAAAACAACAACAGTCAGCCAGTAAGGTTTTGTTCTCAAGTAGAACAAAAACCATCTGATAATTTTCAGAAACTCCACACACTAATGACTGTTGATTAGAGAAATGAACAGTGGTGAGGTTTCACTGTATACATTTGACCTAAACCACAGAAACAAATGTTCCTGAGAGCACGTGTATTAAACAGAAAGTAAATACTTTTGAGAAAGGGGAAGTTTGCTAACAGGCCTATCAGAGCAACAAAGACGAAAGGGTTGAATGGTCCAGAGACTCAGGAGACAAGCTCTCCTGGTGTGAATGATAAGAAAAAGGAGTTGGTTGGGCAGGGCTCCATTCCTGAATGTATAGGATAAATAGGCAAGATATTTGCATAAAATTAACTTTCCTAATGGTATCCTGTAGCAACCGAAGCAGTATTTTTTAAAAAAAGCACATTTCCATTCCCACTACCTGAAACATTACATTGATTTTCTCCAGCATTTGTCTCTTTAGTTTTAGGAATTACTCAGAGGGCCTACTTGTTTCAATCCCAATGGAAAGATGAAAGCCTTTCTTCCAAGACTCTTCTACTCTACAGTTTTTATTCCTTCTTAAAGGAACCTCTCCCTTCAAAGTTTAGGGGAATTGCCTACCCTTTGGACTTTTTCGGGAAGATACTAACTCTAAAAACTAGAGTGTGCCTTGAACAATGGACTATGTATTGGATGCATGGTGGCGTGAAGTATTTTGTCCCAGACATACAATCCTGAGGAACACTTACATTGTATATATCCTCTGCCCAAGATCACCAGGGGAGAGATGCAGCATAACCTGCTTGAAGGCTCAGACAGTGAGAACTGTTAGGTCATAGCACTAGGGTCTTTTGGAAACCAAATTTCCCTTTCTGCGGGAAATTGCAAAGTTCAAAATTAAATTTGTTCTTCGCCAGCATGAAACCTCAACAATTTCCCATGAAATGGGGATTCTGAAATTTCATTTCACAAAAGCCTGAAACTGTTCATGTGGCCTTTTCAAAACACAACTGATAATGACACCTCCACCTCTGCCAAGGCACACATGACAAAGAGCAGGGTATTTCTGGGGGATCTGTCTCGATATGCAGCACCCAAGGATGATGGGCTTCCAGCCAGGATGGCAGGCAGAGGTGGTGTTAGCCCATTGGGGACCCAAGCAAGAATATGTTGAGCCCCCAATAATAATAATAATAAAGGCAGGAGAGGGCTTGAGCTGCTTGTGTCCTTAAGCAATTGCTTATGCCTAGCACCGGCTCTGACAGGAGGTAAGCTGGTGGGTCACTGAACAGGACACCAGATAGGTTTTCACTCGAAGGTTTAATTACATCAATATGTTCCCATGGACACACTGGGAGTTGCCAAAGGAAAAACGACCCCACAGAAAATTTGAGACCAGCTCTATATGGCATATTAATCAACTGGACACATTACAATCAGTTTCATGTATTGGCTGTCAGACATCAGTAAAGGTTGAAGCTCCCTGGTCTGGTACTCTCGGGATCTGACTGGTCCCAGATGAGGGATTTTGCCAGACCAGGAGAGGTAATTTCTGCCCCTCCCCCGCTACCAGCCCCACTCTAACTTTGGACCAGTCAGGAGTGCCGCCTGGCTCGCTGCCTGCCAGTCCCACCACCCTCTTCCTGGCTACGCAAAGCAGCCCAGCTCCAGCTCCAGCCAAGCTCCCTGCGCACCAGTCTACTGGCCCTGGCAGTCAGCCCCGCTGGTGTGTACCTAGCAGCCCAGCTGCGGTGCACTGGGCATCCCAGATGAGGTGAGCACAGCCGCCAGCCCTCCACCAGGACTCTGGTCCTGGAACATCTGTAGTCCTGCCAGACCACGGATGCTACCAAACTAGGGAGTTCCAGTTAATAGAGGTTTAACCTGTAGAACTCTCACCAAAAAATGAATATGGTGGCTGCTCATTCTTGCTCATTTTCAGTTCATCTTAAGACATCTCTGTTTGGACTAAACAGTTATTATGTTCATTGGTATCTATCAACCCACATCTCATATTTTTTTCCAGCTTAAACCAACCTAAACTGAGCTACATCAAATGTTCTAAGCCACTTACTGAAGGGTAACACCCAGACACAAAATCCATCCGCCATAATGTAAAATTCTCTCTGCCTCCTTTGTACAAATCTCTCTAACTTAGTGCCATAATTTTCACTGTTATTTAATGATCAACTTTTAGATATACCAAACAGTGCATGCACATTGCTACCTTTGGAGTAATTAGATTTAAAAGTCTAAAAGAAAAAATAACTCTATGAATAACATTTTTAGATAAAAGCAGCAGCTTAATTTAAGTACAGAAATAGCACAAAAATAGGAATGGGAGAACATATCGATTTGGATTAGATCAGCTTTAGGTGCAATGCACAGTTTGAATGCTTTATTTGTGCTCGAGTGCCAGTGTTAGAAATGATTATAATAAGAAAACTTAACAGGGACACTGAGTAAAACCATAGGCTAGAAGCCACAATTTCCTGATCCAGACACCTGGTGGACTAGAGACAAGGCAGAAGATTAAAGAACTCATCACTACACTTTTTCAGTAACACCTTTTTTGCCAGCAAAAAATGCAGATTTACACCTCTAAAATGTTTTGCAAATTCATGTCAGTTTTCCAGAAGTGTTTCGGTTACCTGAACAAACAAAATTTCCTTTTGGTTTAGTAAAAGAAAGCACACTTTCAAAGGGTTAAAATCTGAACCAAAGGTTTGCATTTTGTTAAAACAAAAGCTTTTGTTTGACCCAAAACAAACTGTTGTTTTTACTTTACAATTTGCCTAATATATTTTAATATTGTTTTTTATTTGACCCAAGTTATTTTGGGGACAGAGGAGGAGGAAATTGAATTGCCCATGAATCAGAAAAAAAAATCCCATTATTCACACAGCTGTGCTCATCACGGCTTCCCTCTCAGAGGTAAACACCAAGGAGGAAGGGAAAATTGGGTCCCCTTCCCAAAGAGAGAAATTAATCACTTCTGTCAGTAAATACAACCATAGAAGAACTAACAGCTGGAGTTTCTGAAAGGTCAAAGCCCTCCTATGTGAGAATTCTTACCATAGACCTTGAGGCATGTCCTGCCAGTGATGGATCCCATGGGAAATGAGTTGAAGATACATTTGTAACAGGCTTCATCCTGCAGGGAGACTGCATGTATAGCAATGGCAGAGACCTTCAGCTCACTCTGGGCGAAGTGCACACGGCCTTCATAGTCACCCAAGATTCGCTGACCATTCACCTTGCTGTAGGTTGCAATGTTGCCCTTGGCCTCTCCACTCTCCTTTTGCCAGGTAACTTGCAGCACTTCATAATCCGTGACTAGCCGGCATTGCAAAGTTACATTTTCTCCTGTCTTGGCCAACTGGATTTTCCTATGAACTACCTGCAGCGAGCCTGTGGGAGGACAGGACACATACATTTGAAGTTCCCTTTCATTCACTCCAGGCAAACACCAAACAGCGATTCCATTGTTTACCAAGACAACATCCCTCTGCAACTTGTGAGTGAGAGTTCTTAGTATGCTTTGCCTTCAGATCTTCCATAAAGTGAGTCCCAGAGAAGGACACTGGGACATTGTATTTCACCATGACAAATAGAGCATCTCTCCCAGCCCATTCAATCCTTGGCCTATCTGCTAACATTTCCAGCAAGAAAGCTAATTCAGATCACAAGAACAAGGGCAGTTACATTCTTTGTTATGAGGATATTTGCTTGCTCTGCCTGGACTAAGAACTCTTAAAAACACTCTTAAGCTAATAAGCAGCAATTCTACATTAATTATTTCTGGATTCTATGGACATCTGTCCAATTAAAATTGGATTAATAAAGCCCTAATCTCACTTCCCCTGTCCTTAACTCAATTTTGACAGACATACACATCTATCAGAGACCAGAAAGGTTAGATCAAGATGGACAGATGTTTAGAGCGAATGCTTCAATTACAACTTGCTTTCCAACCACAGTCCATAGACCAATAGTCACCTTCAGATCCCTTTCTGAAGGCTCAAAGAATAAAAGCTTCTCCAAGTCAGTAGTGATGGCTTGTCAGTTAAAAGAGGACATGCCCATGAAAACTGGTGTCTCTAAGCCAGAGAGTCATGGGAATGAAGCTCATCGTGAAAAATTGTCCTTCTGTTTATTTAAAGAGAAGCCGGTTGAAGTTCCATTAAGGCAACATGTAAGAAAGAAATGTATAGACTTAATCTTTCACTCAACACTTGTCTTCTCACAGAACCAAAATTAATATCACTTGTCTGGTTCACATCAATATGCGGCTTGTACACCAGCATGTGAAGAAAAATGCCAGTGACAACAGGCATAGCATTGAAAATTGTGCTTTATTCATTAACTGCTTCATCACAAACAGCACAAGAAACCATACATAGTGTTCTTGAAACGGTGGAAGTTTGTCCCACAATGTGGTGTGGCTACATTTCCTTCACAGAGGGCGGCATTTCACAGATCAAGCAGAACTGCATGTCAGTCATTATAAATGATCCCATCCTGACCAGAAGGAATCCATTGACACTCCCTAACCAAAATCATTCTGTTAACGTACGTTGAAAGCAAGTCGTACGTTAGGTGGGTCGTTTACTTTATAGTCATAAATACACTCGCCCCCAGCTCATGAAAACACTCCTTTTAAACCCAACAAAAACCACTACATAATAAAACAGAAATGTGAATTATCATAGGACAGTACAGGAAGGAAGCATTATCAAGCTCTTTTCAGCTTCTGTCAAAACCAAGCACAACATAGCTGTATGTGGGGCCAGAAGCATTGGATCATTGTCAGTGTTAATCAAGGGATGATAGATAAGGATCAAGGGCTTCAGCAAAGATCTTGTAAGAACTGTACATCACCAGGACGACAGGATGTTTGGTCAACAAAGTTTCACATAGAATTTTAGCCAAAGAATAGAAAATTTACCTTCTGCCATTGCCCAAACCCCAGAGAAGAAAATGCACATGAATATCATGTCAGCTGAGAGATCAACCAGATGAACAGGCAACAGACGGCATTCTGCTCTGCACTTCCCTTTTTATACACTAACATGGGGATAAGAGTAGCATGATCTACTGGAAGTTATGTAAATAGCTTCTTCCTCTCTGTGACATCAATACATTTCCTTTTCCAAAGCAGCTAAAACAATTCCTACAAAGGCAGAAATCTGGACTGCATCTTTCTTGTTCAGAAAAACAAAGCAGCTTGTACAGATGACATTGATTATCACTCAGGCAAATTTAAACTCCAAGGTAAACGCAGTTGTGTGTGCGTGTCTGTCTGTCTACCAATCAAGGAGAACCAAAAATGGGCTATTAGGAAAAGAAAGGTGAGATGTCACATGAGCAAATGCATTTGGAGGAATCGGATTTTAAATCTGCCATTTGGTAACAAAGACTATTATTCTGAAACGTGATTTCAACACTTCATATCATTCTGCTTGGTTGAAACATGGACTGGAAGAGCAGCAGTGCAGGGTCAGTCTGGATGGAGATGTATGGACAGAGCTGAGTGGGAGTTAAAAGAGGCAAAAGAGGGTTTGTTGGAAATCAGGATTAAGGTGTGTGTGAATAGCAGTGGTGTCACAGGCAGTATTACCCAATTTGAAAGACCAAAAGTCGTGACATTTGAAAAAAAAAAAAAAAAAAGAGAATGTTTTGGGTTTTGATCTGTCCTTTGATTTTCCAGTTCCACTTCCCCATCACCTGGCTCGCCCTTTCTTTGGCAATTAATGCTGTCTCTTCCCTCAGATGTATCGGGTAAGGTGATTTTGGCCCCTGTTGCAGGAGCTCCCACCCCCCACATCTACCTGCTCCCTGCCCTGCAAACACTCCTGTCCCTCCTGTGCCTGCATCAGGTCTGTCACCTTGCCTCACCTCTGCTTCTCATGCCACACCTACTAGGCTGGGGAGGTGGAGGAGGAGCCCTCACTCCCCTTTAAAGGCCAAATGTTATAAAGGAGGAAGGAGCAAAGGCACACACCCAATCCCTGTTGCTTACAGGAGGAGGTGGGAAAAGAGGGAGCAGAGTTGTCCTGAGCTGCTGGACACTTTCTGTCCCAATGAGCATGACTTCAGGTTGCTGAGGAAAGGGAGAGAGGTCCGCCGATTGGTTCCTTTGGCTCAGAAAACTGGCCAGTGAGGCAGGCAGTCATTCAGAGAGGGGTTGCTCCTTGGCATGGCTCAAATTCTTCTGGGAGCTGGAGCATCTCAGGCCAAGTCTACACTAAAGGGGAAGGTCAAATCAAGACACAGCTGGAGTCACTGTACCTTGATTCAAGTTTCCCCGCTGTCCCCACAGTGGGAGGCTGATGAAAGCACACACACACTGTTGTTGGCTTTCCTGACACCTCATAGGAGTAGAAGTACCGTCCACTGATGGAGATGCCCTCCGAGTTCAATATAGCAGGTCTTAGTTAGACCCACTAAATCAAACTCCAGAATATCAATCACAACAGTATCGTTCTTCCGTTTAGTGAAGACATGACCTCATATTGTTGTCAGAAGGACTCTAGCACCAACCAAAATCCCATCACTCAAAATCAGTATGAGAGATAACATTGTGTTTTATAGTGTATAATTTAAATATTTGTTTACTACAACATTATATGGAACTCTTTGAATTTTGACTGTCAGCTACTGACACCGACTTATCACGGTTTCATATACAATAGCCTCGAAATTTAATTCTGTGTATTGCTTTCTGAAAAGTCCTAAAGACACAGCACTAGACTTGTAGAGAAGCTCAGGGTCAGATCTGAGAGGATAGCTTTGCTCCCAACATATGCACCTAAATAAAAGAGCCACATTTTCCTAACGGCTCATCGCTCAATAGTTTTCAATGTAACATGATGGATGCCAAATTCTTGACACTGTGGTGTAGTTTGTGGGTAGAGCTGGGTGAATTCTTTTGTCCAAAAGATCTTTCTTGGCTGAAAAATGAAGATATAGGACCACTAACAGAGTGTTTCTCAACCTTTATTTATAAAGTATCCTTTTTTTAAAAAAAATTGCAAGTATCCCCTTTTAAAAAAAAATTATAAGTACCCCCAGTACCTACAGTTTCCAGACACACAATTTTTTTCCTACCATTGCTACACATTTGTTTGAACCACTTAATCATAGCCAGGTGGGCGATGATATTTTTGGGAGCTAAAAGTACAAAAATAATAAAGCGCTGTAAAACTTAACACAAAATTCAGCTTTCTCCAAATTTCAGTTGTGTTGACATACCCCCCCTCCCCCCGACTTCTCTTGAGTACCCCTAAGGGTACTCGTACCACTGGTTGAAAAATTCTACACTAAAATATTTTCTAAATTTATGTCAAATTCATTGACTAATTTTGTTTAAAAATAATCAGCAAAAATCAAAATGTTTAATAGGTATATTTTCAGAGAGAAAATTATTTACTTTTTTTTATTCAAAGACACTTTTGGTTCAGTATTATTACTGCACTTTTGCAAAAAGCATTCAGCCTAAAAGCTAACAAAATGTTCTGTTTCACTTTGACTGAGAAAAAGTTCAGCGTGTAGATTACACACAAATAGATCTCAGTGAGAGTTCACTTGATTACTCTCTATTCACAAATGCTTCTTAATCTTCAATTGGTTACCTAATTCCAGTGGGGTTGTTTCTATTTCCTGACAGGATGACCTATCTTTTATATTTATTATGGCGCGCTTGCACGCACACATGCGCACACGCACACGCACACACACACTTTTTTTTAATTGAGCAAATCTTAGATGAAGGCCGGAAATATATGGTCCTTGAATATTGATACAAGCCATCCTGGAGCTGCACAGGTATTTGTGAAATGCAAACAAAAACAGGAGGCCCGAAACAAAACAGGATTCCAAATTCTAGAAAAGGTTCACAAAAACATGTTCTGTTGTTCTGGAAGAATGTAAAAAGTATCCGCATGGCTACTGAATGTGAGTTTCAATGGGCTGCTTGTTTCATCAGTACCTAAACATGGTCTCTTGGGTGCTGAACCTCTTTGTAAGACAAACATATCACACTGCTACCAGGGACACGTGGTCTGGCTGGGATTTAATGTACCAAACTCCCAATATTTCATTTGAATCAAAGCCAAATCACGTCATGCCTTCGTACAATTGGTTTTTTAAAGGAGAGATTCTGGCAGTGTGGTTTATTTTTTGTTTCCATTTATTGTTTTCAGTACCCCACTCCTACGAGGAAGCTAGGCTCCCTGTGCATTGTTTCTGGCAAGCCCAAAAATGCTAAATACTTGAGATTTAAGAAAGACTGTTCTTGTGAGAATTCCAGCGTAATTTTCCAGCTGCTAAAAATTCCAGTGGTTTACGCTGCAGAATAAATTCTTAGGATACTCAGCCAAAGTGACAGGAAGAACTTGTAGTTCTCAACTGTAGTTCACAAAAATATCAAACTTGTAATTTCATATACCTGGGTTCAGTCTGCACTGCTCCTATGAAGTCAATGAATCTGCACGTAGTTACATCAGATCTGAACTTAGCTATCACCTTGTTTACTAATGGGACACTGACCTGTAAAGAGAGAAAGCCTGGAGTCATTTAAGGCTCAGCTAATGCAATTTCTTCAATTAGTAGTGTCATCTCCTAACTTAAAGCAATGTTGGGGTCAGTTGTGCCAGAACAACGGAAAGCCCAGGAAAGGGACAGTTTTCCATAACATGCAAAGGGAGGGGCTGCTGTTCCAAGGGAGCGTACATTGGCGGCAGATGCATTGCCAAGGGAGTGGCCAGCAGTGCTAGGGCTCCGCCATCTTGCCTGCCAACAGACCAGAAAAGTGGGGCCCCCTGCCAGGGAGACAGCCCCCCTGGACTCCGCCCACCCTGGCAGGAGCTGGGGGAGCGGAAGAGTTGCCCCTCCCATCCCAGGAAGAAGCTGGGGAGAAGGTGAGAGCCCCACCCCACCTTGGAAGGGACTGGGAGAAAAGGAGGGAGCCCCCTGCCCTAGAAGGGGGGAGGGAGAG